ACGAATCAAACGACTGTATTTTGCTCACGGTGGCGCTATATGCCAGTAAATGATCCAGGCCTGCGCTGCAGACTCACATTATTCAGTTCCCGTTGTGGATTTGAAGAGAAAACTTAACACAGAGCTGGTCACAGCCGAAGCCTTCTGTTTTACGCGTCTGTTCGTTGTTTTAGGGACGATGGTATTTCTGAAGAAAACCTGTACATTTGTGTTCATTTTTACATGGATCGAGGCGACATGTGGAGATGTGAGTTATTCCATCCCGGAGGAAACCAAACGAGGATGGGTTATTGGAAATATAGCGAAAGACCTGGGACTGAAGAACGGAGTGTTAAGCCTCAGAAAAGCCCGGATTGACGCCGAGGGGACAGACAGGCGCTACTTTGACATGAACGTGGACAACGGGAACCTGATTGTAGCAGACAGAATTGACCGAGAGGAGCTTTGTGGAGACAGGGCGTCGTGTGTCGTAAAGCGAGAGCTTGTTCTGGAGAGTCCTCTGGAGCTTCACCGAATAAGCGTCCATGTGCAAGACATCAACGACAACGCACCAAAATTTAACGAAGAGGTTATCAGTCTGGAAATAAGAGAGTCTACAGACAGAGGTGCGCGTTATTTGATAGAGGAGGCTCAAGATGCAGATGTCGGGCAAAATTCAGTCCAAGAGTATAGTCTTAACAAGAATGATAATTTTGCTTTAATAATCACGGGAAACACCATTGAGCTGGTGCTCGACAAAGAATTAGATCGTGAAAAGCATCAGGACATAGATTTAGTTTTGACAGCTTTTGATGGCGGGTCTCCGCAGAGATCAGGGACAGTGGCCATACACGTCACTGTGCTGGACGCTAATGATAACGCCCCTGTCTTTAGTCAGGCCGTGTATAAAGCCAGTCTGCCTGAAAACTCCCCCATAGATACTGTTGTGGTCACTGTTAGTGCGACTGATGCAGACGAGGGCGTCAATGGAGACGTGAGTTATGATTTTGTCCATGTTACTGAAGATGTGAAAAAGATGTTTAGTATCAATTCAAAAACAGGTGAGATAATTGTTAGCGGTAATATCGACTTTGAAATCAAACATTCCTTTGAAATTCGTGTTAAAGCAAAAGACGGATTAGGATTGTCATCCCATGGAAAAGTATTCATTTCTGTTACTGATGTAAATGATAATGCTCCTGTGATCAGTTTAAAATCGTTATCAGAAACTATAACAGAAAACAGTCCTCCTGGTACAGAGGTGGGCATCATTAATGTCCAGGACAGAGACTCAGAGAACAACAGACAGGTCCACTGCTCCCTTCAGACTGGGGTCCCTTTCAAGTTAGTTCCTTCCATTAAAAACTATTATTCTCTGGTGACCACAGAGCAGCTGGACCGTGAGCTAGTGTCTGATTACAACATTACAATCAGTGCCACTGACGAGGGCTCTCCACCTCTGTCCTCCTCTAAAACTGTCCACTTAACTGTAGCTGACATCAATGACAACCCTCCTGTGTTTGAGGAGCAGTCCTACAGCGCACATGTGACTGAAAACAACAAACCTGGCTCCACTTTATGTTCTGTTGCTGCTCGAGACCCAGACTGGAGACAAAACGGGACAGTGGTTTATTCTCTGTTACCTGCTGAGGTGAACGGGGCCCCAGTGTCCTCCTATGTGTCTGTGAATGGAGACACAGGGGTGATCCATGCTGTGAGGGCTTTTGATTATGAACACTTCAGGAGTTTTCAAGTCCATGTGATGGCCAGAGACAATGGCTCTCCTCCACTCAGCAGCAACGTGACAGTCAATGTGTTTATATCTGATGTGAATGACAACTCTCCTCAAATACTGTACCCCAGCCCAGAGGGGAACTCCTTCATGACTGAACTGGTCCCTAAAGCTGCACATGCAGGCTCTCTGGTGTCCAAAGTGATAGCAGTGGACGCAGACTCTGGACAGAACGCCTGGCTGTCCTATCACATCGTCAAATCCACTGATGCTGGACTTTTTACTATTGGTCTCCACAGCGGAGAGATCAGGACCCAGCGGGACATCTCTGAATCTGACAGCATGAAACAGAACCTTATTGTGGCAGTGAAGGATAACGGACAGACTCCTCTCTCTGCCACCTGCTCCATGTATTTACTGATCTCTGATAACTTGGCTGAAGTGCCTGAACTCAAGGACATTTCTTATGATGAGAGGGACTCAAAGCTGACATCCTATCTGATCATTGCCCTGGTGTCAGTGTCCACATTTTTCCTCACCTTCATCATTATTGTCCTGGGTGTGAGGTTCTGTCGCAGGAGGAAGCCCAGACTGTTGTTTGATGGAGCAGTTGCAATCCCCAGTGGTTATCTGCCTCCTAATTATGCAGATGTTGACGGCACAGGAACTTTACGCAGCACTTACAACTATGATGGATACATGACAACTGGATCCAGGACAAGTGACTTTAAGTTTGTCTCGTCCTACAATGACAACACGCTGCCTGCAGAGCAGACGCTGAGGAAAAGCCCCACTGACTTTTCTGACGTCTTTGGGGACTCTGACCACTCTCCTGAGGTAGGCTTATTCCATTAAGAAGCTTGCTTTGTGTTCGATTGACTACATTGTATACTTCCATTTGAAGTATTTTATATTTTTACTATACACTTACAGATTATCACTCTGGTTGAAATACGTTATAAAATAAAGATTAAGATTACATATATTCACCAACTCTGTAATTGATTATTAGTGGTCAAAATATTCAACTATTGTTTCAAAAATACTGTAGACATCACTTTGGAATTCTTTTCATTGAGTAACTGTTTTATAATAACATATTTTGTTTACTGAATGAGTGAATCATGATACAGCTATGGTTTGTTTTAACATGAGTTTATTTGATTTTGTGATCAGACTGCCAACATGTGTTTCTTCTCTTTGTATATTTAATATTGTTCATGCAGAGACACTCTTAACTGGCATTATTTATTACTTTGTTGAATGTTTGACTATATAAACACAACTTTATTCTCCTTTATCACTTTTTTTTCTCTTCCTTGCCACAACTGAGGTCTATGGTAGACTGTGGTTCCTGAACCATGAGTCCTCTGATTTTAAGTTGTTGCGGCTTCCTGCAGACCTGAGCCGGTCAGGTGTGGTCCCAGAAGATGTGTAGATGCGTTTTGAAACCTATGCTAAAGAAATGTAGATCCAGTATTGTGTTTTAAAGTGATTTATTGACATAAATAGTGCAGCAAACAAAATATGAACGAATGATAAACTGAAGAACTGTAACGTATGACCTGAGGTGAGCAAAGAAAACGTAAAAGGCAAACGGTCTACACAAAATTTGGTTACCCACTCAGCCCTGATTCATCATTTGTTTGACATAATCACGCACACTTTTAGCACTTTTCGTGCACGTGCACCCGCCCCGTGAGCCACATACAATACATTAACCGCAAACACACAATGCACCCTGATCTGTCTCCTACATAAGTTATTTATACACATTTTGGGTTAGTCCTGATTGCACCTACGTACAAATAATGACGTTCTTTATTAGAATAGATGTAGAAAAGTTCCACTCCGAATTGAGATTTAAATTTATATTTTCTAAAGACGCAGTTGTTAATGTTTTAATCTTTTGAATTTCATTTAATTGTGCCTGGAAGTGATTGTCTTTTGTTCGTTCACTTCAGGAAAACCAATTGTGAGCAATAATGGGGATCCTTAACAAAAATAACCAAAAAAAAATGAAAAAATAAAATGACCCTGTTGCGTGGAACATATTTGAGGTCGAATGCTGTTAAAAATCTCTATAGATCGTATATGGTAAAGTTTCTAAGTTATTCGTTCCCTGTGGAAAATTACGTTTTAGTTGAGGTAACACACAGTAGGCATTTTACATTGAGCGAATGTTTTCATACTTATGAGAGAAATTATATTTTTATTTTACGTTTTCACATTCAAGGATTTAAACACTTTCATAATATGTTTATCTATTTTATACATGGAACACAATTTAAAAGGATGATCTACATTTCATGTTTTGCCTCTTTTAGTTTTTGGTGCACTCACATAGGGACTACGTATGTAGTGCAATTGTTTTTGTTTTTGTTTTGTTATTTATTTTGAGTTATGAGTATACTTTGGAACATATGAGTATAATTTGCCATGTTTAATAATCAGACTGAAATGGCAGAAGTTCCTGGGGATAGTTTCATTGGTTATTCCAATAATTTTCTGTCCATGGTGCTGATATCTGTTCCACATGCTTGAGCCAAATAGTAGTTCAAAGGTTAATTAGTATCCAGTTTTACCCCTTGCATTTAAACAGACTTAGATAAGAATGTATTTGATAAGGCTGCCCCTAGTGGCAGCTGCCAGTATTTATCATGAAGAGGCTGATTTCTCCTGACTGCATTGTTCTAATACAGATGTAGACGGTTTTTTTTGTTTCGTTTTTTAACAGCAAAGTGCCACACTGTTGAATATTCTTTAAATTACTTATGTGTAGAAATTACTACCATTTAATTTTCACTCGGTGATTCTGAAACACTATCCTATTGTTGCTGTACACGGTAAACAAATAAAAACACATGCATTATTCCCCTCCACATTCATGCAAGTGTTATCATTTATTATTTATAATACTAATTTTAGGTTGAAAACGTTGTAATGTATTCGTTACAAATATTGTATAACTTTAAAAGTGCACTTAATAACATTTTATGAAGAGCTGTGGTTGTTGCTCAGAACAAACTCTTGGTGTCAGTATTCACCAGTGAACGGTGCAGCGTGTTCATTCTCCTCCCTTCTTTATCAGTTGTTGTAAAGCAGCAGCACATTTTTAGAAAACGCTGTTCTTTCAATGCCTCGTTTTACGCATTTCAAGAGCGTTTAAAACAAATCTCCTGGTTAAATAATGGATGGGCAAAGATACCATTTTTCTATTATTTTGTGTTATATTTTCCTGGTATTTCATGTTGGCCGTGGAGACATCAGCTACTCTATTCCAGAGGAGATGAAACGTGGATCTGTGATCGGAAATATCGCTAAGGATGTTGGACTTGATTTGAGCAGATTGTCCGCTCGCAGGGCGCGCGTGGACTCCGAGGACAACGGAGTCCAGTTCTGCAGTGTGAACCTCAACACGGGAGAGCTGCTTGTTCAGGAGAGGATTGACAGAGAGGGCCTTTGTGCGAAGAAGACTTCATGTATTCTGAAACAGGAGCTTGTGCTGGAAAACCCTTTAGAGTGTGGTTCCGGGATTTTCGCTCACCGGTCTTGTGATCATTTTGAACCTACGGGGTGAAATCTTAGGTGGAGCCCCAGATTGAGGGAGATTATCAGTGGTCTCGTATGTCTTCTATTATCTAATAATTGCTCCCACAGTTGATATCTTCACACCAAGCTTCTTACCTATTGCAAATTCAGTGTTCCCAGCTTGGTGCAGGTCTACAATTTTGTTTCTAGTGTCCTTTGACAGCTCTTTGGCCATAAGGGAGTTTGGAGTTTGACTGTTTGATGTTGTGGACAGGTGTCTTTCATACTGACAATGAGTGGAGGAGAGAGGAGCCTCTTAAGGAGTTACAGGTCTGTGAGAGCCAGAAATCATAGGATTAGTGTGATGTGATTTTCTGGATTTTTTTTCTAATTCTGTTTCTATTGAGGTATACCTATGGTGGAAATTACAGGCCTCCTGCATGTTTTTATGTGGGAGAACTTTAACAATTGGTGGCTGACTAAATACTTTTTTGCCCCACTGTAAGAGGGGCGGAATCAACCATCAAATACTTCCTATAGCCAACACTATTTTATTGATGTTTAAATTTAACGTCTCATTTGTAATTTTGTGTGTGTGTTTTTGTGTTTCAGGATTATCCAATCTCTGATGTACAAACAATTTTGGCTAAAGCCAAAGACCTACGAGATAACTCATAACGTTAGTAAAATTCCAACTTATTTTGTATTCAGTAGTCTGCCGACTGCCATATAGGACGAAGAGCTGAAGGAACAGTTTTAGGGAGAGGAGCTGATTGCCACATTGTACATAATTGAGAAATGTTGGTATTAGTTGTCCTCTACAAGCCATTTCTCCCATGGAGATTTCTTATCCTCTAATAATGATGTTTGCTACATTGATCTTACACTACCAATTTCAGCAATAACCTTGCTTGAAATGTTCAATGACGACGCCAACACCGATGCCACTTGTATTGTTTATTCAATATTTATACTTTGAGCAATAGTGCATGTATCTGCATTTAATTATTTAACAATGTTTTTTGTGTAAGTGGTGGAGCCTTATTTTATACTCGTAATGTGAAATGGGTGACAGTATTTCAATTGAATTGCCTTATTGTGGTATTATTCACAAACCATTTATTTATTGAGCTTGAAGTCTCAAATCCCAAAGGCATCTCGCTTTGACGGCAGTTTCATTTAAGTATACTTCCACAGCTTAAACTCTTTCTTTATGATTTTTTTTAACAAACCGAAGTTTTACTTTATACATGAACAGGTTGATTTTCTTTTCTTTTTCCAACTGAATGTAAATGCAATTATTCACCTTTTTTTTGTATTACAATTATTTTCATGAGTCTTTGTATTATTTGAGATGCAATGTGTGCATGTGACATAAACATGTTACTTTACCTTTAACGTAAGATAAGCTCTCTTGTTTTTTATTAACTGACGATACCATATAGTATAGGTTTATAGTCATGGGTACAAAGCTGACCCACTGTTTATTGTGCCAGGAACAGACATCTCAAGTTGTCATTTAGAACCAACATCTGAGCTTTGTCAGCCTAAAATCACAGAGGCTTGGTTTGCATCCCTCTTGGCCTTATTTTAATTGCCCTTTAGAAATATAAAACACATGCTTTTGTGTCCCCCATTATTATGGGCCTCAAATTATATCAAGGGCAAATGAAATGTTAGAAATCATTATTGACTTATCTGCCAATAACAAATGGCCTGTACATTCTGTTTGTCCAGTTGTTGTCGAATGTTTAATATACTGTCTTTTTGACTGTTTTTTTTACTTAAACACCCCTTTTTAAAGGTGCATTGCACGACTTCTCAGTTTGGTTCCATTGCCCTCTTGGTATTTCAGTAATTGGAACAAACCTCTGTATGATATTAACCTGCATACAATTTAATTGTACATTAGGTTGGCTTGCCACCCTGCAGATATGATCTATAGTGGAGTCACTAAGCGAAAAACTAGTTAATCAAAGACGTTAATACAAGCATATTTGCTAATTAAATGTAGTAGGCAGAAGTTGTATGACGAATGTGTGAGTGTGATGCAGTGCAAGTTGTGTTCACATAAAGGGGTATTAATGTGAAATTGTCGCTGTAATGGTTGTAAAAGTGGACCAACCACACACTTGAATGTTCAGTTGTATCTTTGTTCAAGATACAACTTGCATGCCTCGAGAGCAGATGGATTAATTGAATGCCATACTGTGGAACATTCTAGGCAAAACATTTAAATGGACACGAGAACAAAGGGGACCCTGCACCAAGACAGATGTGTGATGCATCTTTAAGGTGATTTTTAAAGCTAAAGCCCAAATTCATGCCAGTGTTGTATTGTTTTCTGAAGTCGTTGCTGTTTCTATTATGTGCTTCAGATTAATGCTTTCTCTTACTTTTAATACATTGCATGCAAATGATTAGAATTAAATTTTTGTGAAGTTTGAAATGTTTTATATTTTTGCATATATGTACATTAAATTAAAGTATCCAGTGTGTAATAATTTATTCCATAATTCTTACAGCAATGGTTCTCATGATTCAACACTACTACTACAAGTGAGGGGAATAGACCAGAAAATAGTTCACTCCACACTGACATCTTGTGGTTTTATTTTAGTGAGAGTGGTTCAACACTGAAACATTATGTTATTTACATATATATATTAAGTGTTTTTGAAAATGTTTTATCTTAGCTATAGTTAAAATACGGTTTTAGTTTTAGGGATGTTATTTTTTGAAGATAGTTTCCTTTTTTGCACATGTTAGCGCGAGGCGCAAGCCATCAACGGCAATGCATGGTTACCACGGCAACAGAAAGGCGCTCCGACAAAGTCCAACGGAGCGCAAATGAAAACGTTATTTTTTAGCTACCCCCTTTTTTTGAGGTTCAAGGTACGTTTACTACAAATGTATTTTTTGTTAAATGTACGTTGTATTATTATTGCTATATATATAAAATAACTATATATATATATATATATATATATATATATATATATATAAAATAAATAAATACTTTTTTATCCTAACCGATAGTCTTGTGAACCTAAAATCAACACGTCAGACCACAACATGGGGTCTTCATATATTATATTTATTTTTCTTATGCATACTAGGTTTTTACATTTCCAGATTGATTCGAATTAAAACAATACCTGGTATAACTTGTGAGAACCATAGACCGTGTGAGAACCCACAATGAAGCCACTGGTTGGTGATGTTGATGTTGGTGGGGGGCTTCCGTTATTATAAAAGATCCATGGGGGCTCCTAGCCTGGCTAACGCCAGACGAAATATCACAAGTGAGGATTCGAGCGCACACAGCAGTCTGGCGTTAGCCAGGCTAGGGGGCTCCATGGACGAAGGGGTATGTGGGGGGTTTGGATCTAAATCAGGAAACGCCGCCCACTTTGCAGCCATATGGTGAGTTGTAAAAAGGGTGCCTGTTTATATGAGAGGGTGGAGTTTCTCAGATAGTTGTACTGTTTTATAGATTAAAAAAAAACGACAAGATATGTTTTATAGTATGTCGCAAAGGATCTTGGTCTGGATGTGTCCTCTTTGCGTGAGAGACGGTTCCGTGTTGTTTCTGAATCAAATGAAAATATTTTTGCAGTAAACTCAGATGACGGCGCTTTGTACGTCCACGGCCGCATTGACAGAGAGCAGCTGTGTCAGGGCAGCGGTACGTGCCTGATGGAGCTGAAGGTTCTGGTAGAAAACCCTTTGGAAGTTCATTATGTGGTCGTAGAAGTCACTGACGTCAATGATCACGCTCCCACTTTTCCTAAAAATAATCAAACCTTTGAAATCGGAGAACAGTCTTTGCCTGGGAAGAGACTTCAGCTCCACCCAGCGCTAGACCCCGATACAGGAGTGAATTCTATCCGCACCTATATACTGTCTGTGAATGAACATTTTGACATAAACATCAGAGAGAGTGACTCAGGTAAAATACCCTTTCTGGTTTTAAAGAAATCTTTAGACCGAGAACAAAGCAGCAAACACACGCTGCGTCTCACTGCGGTAGATGGCGGGAAACCACAAAAATCTGGGACACTGAATATCACTATAATAGTTCTGGACAGTAATGATAATAAACCAGTGTTTACACAAGAGGTTTATCATATCACAGTGACAGAGAATTTGGAAATAGGAAACGTAATATTTAAGCTTAACGCGACTGATGCTGACGAGGGAATAAACGGAGACATTGAGTACAGCCTCGGGGAAACACTGAGCCCAGCTGTGTATAGAACATTTGAATTAAATAAATTAACAGGAGAACTTGTAACAAGAGGTTCTATAGACTTTGAAGAAACCGATCACTACGAAATAGATGTCGAGGCATCAGATAAGGGTACACCGACACTCACAGGAGACGGTAGAGTGATAATAAAAATCCTAGATGTTAATGATAATTCGCCTGAAATAGAAGTGACCTCTTTGTCAAACACAGTGTCTGAAAACTCCAAACCAGGCACAGTAGTTTCTCTCATCCGCGTCAAAGACAAAGACTCTGGAGTGAATGGTAAAATCATCGCTCGCATCACAAACAACGTGCCTTTTGAGCTCAAACCCTCGTATAAAGAAAACACATATTCAGTTGTCACTAAAGACTTCCTGGACAGAGAGAAGGTTTCTAATTATGACATAAGAATAAAAGCCACTGACTGTGGAGAGCCTCCTTTATCCACCACTAAAACTCTCAGTATTCAGTTATTAGATGTGAACGACAACAGTCCACAGTTTGAACACAATCCTCTGTACTTTTATATAGTAGAAAATAACGCGGCAGGGACGTCCCTGTTCTCTGTAACTGCAACAGACAAAGATAACAATGAAAATGCAGATGTTTCCTACAGCATTGCGCGTTCAGGACAAGAGAAGGACGTGGCGCTCTTTTTAAACGTGAACGCTGAAAATGGTCAAATCACGGCCCTGAAAAGCTTTGACTTTGAGACTTTAAAGTCGTTCCAGTTTCAAGTGGTGGCCTCAGACTCTGGGACTCCGTCACTGAGCAGCAACGTGTCAGTGCATGTGTTCATTCTGGACCAAAACGACAACACTCCAGTCATTCTGTATCCAGTCAGCTCTAACGGTTCTGCTGAAGGAGTGGAGGAGATCCCCCGCAATGTGAACGCAGGACACTTGGTGACTAAAGTCAGGGCCTATGACGCGGACATCGGATATAACGGCTGGCTGCTGTTTTCACTGCAGGAAGTGACTGACCACAGTCTGTTTGGCTTGGACCGCTACACAGGACAGATCAGGACACTTCGCTCATTCACAGAGACAGACGAGGCCCAGCACAAACTCGTCATACTGGTCAAAGACAATGGCAACGTGTCGCTCTCAGCTACAGCTACTGTGCTTGTCAAAGTGGTGGAGGCCAGAGAGGCGTCTGCAGCTTCTGACGTGAAGAGCTCCGCTAAAGACGCTGAGGACACTAATGTGACTTTTTACCTGATGATAACTCTGGCCTTGGTCTCAGCTCTGTTCATTATCAGTATCATTGTGCTGATTGCAATGCAGTGCTCCAAGTCCAGCACTGACTACACCTCCAAGTACTTACAGGACACAAACTATGACGGGACTCTGTGCCACAGCATCCAGTACAGATCTGGAGACAAGCGCTACATGTTAGTGGGACCCAGAATGAGCGTAGGCTCCACTATAGTCCCAGGGAGCCAAGCCAACACACTAGTGCTGCCGGACAGGAGGAGGCCCTCTGAGGAGGTAAGAGTCAAGTAATTGCGATTGCATAAAAGATGAAAGTTATTTATGAGCCTATATTTGATCTTCCTGTTCTACATTATAATCAAACATGTGTGTTTTGGGTGTAGCATTGATTAAAAATCGTTTATTATTGGTTTGAACTTTTCAGATGACAAAATGGCTCAATTGTGAATTTGGATTCTGACTTTCACTTTATCTACAGCGGTCTTACTTATGATAAGAGTACATCAAATTCAGGAATCCATAGGCTAAATACATGTTCATCAAAAAGAAAGGTATCGGTTTATTTATTTACTGTTTACTTACGTATTCTTCCTTCTCTTATAATTTTTCTCGACTAGTTTGAAAAATATATTTGTCATTATTGCATTTTGATGTAGTGCGTGTTGTACAGTTCAAACAACGGTATAAATCCACGGGAGAAAAACAGAAAAATTCTTTATCTTAGAACGGCAGACGAAAGATTCTGAGCTCTCTCACATTCAAACATAAATGGCCCGATAGCGCCACCTGTTGGTACACTGGTGACACTGAATAAACACAAGTTATGGTTTTTAATTCATGATAATGCAGTGTCATGTGTCCAGTGTGTTAAACAGCACCGTGAATTAGCTTTAACCATTTAGAAAAACAGAGGAGTGCTCGTTTACTCTATTGTGTGTCTTCAAGAACACTGTCCATGGTGCTGAATGAGACAGTATTTCAGTTGCACATTGTTGTTTAAATGTTTTCCTGATTCGTTTTTGAACTTTTAGTTAATGGCTGGGCTCGATGTGGTTCATATTAATATTGTTATAACATATTAAATCAGCTCTTCTTTCTTTGGCCTCACGGTGGCAGTCTCCAACAGACAAACGTCTCCACTTGTTTGTCCCTCCTCTCGCAGCGCTTTGTTTCCATTTTACTGAAGCTGAGAGGTCACTTGTGCGCAGCGTTATGCGGACTATGCTTTTTGTCTCACGTTTTTATGACAATAGATGCTTTTAAAAGGGATTTTAGAGGAAAATGAAGCGGTCTTTTCTACCAGGTGTGGCAAGACCAGGTCTGGTGGTCTATGCTGAGGGCATTGTTACTCGCCGCCTTGCGGCGCTGAGCTGGTGGACTATTTAAGCGCTCCCATCCCATGTCACTCCCTGTTTGCCCGCACTTCCCACTGGGCCGTGTGACTCTGCTCCTCTCCAGTCCTAGGTAAAGTCCCAAATGCGTGGCTCCAAATTGCATACATCTCCCCATTTCTTACAATATTATTCTTTTAGCGCTGCTGTATGACTGCAGCCTCACACCGCCAGTTTGCACGGCCTGATTTTGTGTGTCGCGCCCGGGGCATGCTGCCTCATCTGCTGTGACTGGTAATACTCCTCTCCCCATTCATTCATTCACAAAAATCTAACTACTGCTCTCCTAGTCCCCGATGGTGATTGGCCTTGTCTGTGCTGGGCATTGTTGGGCATCACTGTGTCCGTTCAATTGGGGCAACAGGTATAATTTTATTTATTTATTGATTAAGACAGCCTTTAAATCCCGCTGTCTCCTCATAGTGCTGCTGCAGGATTGGCAGCTGGTGTCCGCGGCTTGGGCCAGCCCGTGCCCTGCCCCGCCCCCCTGCGGCATTTGCTTGTACAGTACATAACTTTCTGTGTGCGCTCTCCAGTCTATCACAGCGGTAGGTGCGCGCCTCAGTCACACCTACCATATTTAATAGCAGATTAATTATTATTATTAATTCCCAGGTGTCAGCGGCGGTCTGCAGCGTTGGGACACGTCTCCTCTGCTGCTTTGCTCCAGGCTCCAGGAGGTCCAGGCTTGCATGAGGGCAAGGCACCTGTCCCGGACCGATCAGGCTTTCTTTTTATTTGACCATCTAGAAGGAGAAGCCCGGGATGAGATAAAGTTCCGCTCCAGTGCAGAACGGAGTGACCCGGATCAAATCATTTCTATTTTAAAAGAGCTGTATGGAAGCGCAGAGTCATATGTGGCCCTACAGGAGCAGTTCTTCTGCCGGAAGCAAGAAGAGGGGGAGACATTGCAGGAATTTTCCCTTGCCTTGCTGGGACTCATGGAGAAAGTTAAAGCATCTGCTCCCACACCATTGCTAAATGCTGCGGTACTATTGCGCGACCAATTCACTGAACACGTGCTGGATGGATCTTTGCGCCGTGTGTTAAAGCAGCATATCCGGCAAGATCCCGCAGCCACCTTGCTCGTGGTCAGGGGAGAGGCTATGAGATGGGAGCGCGAAGGTCTGCCAGCCAGCATGCGTGGGCGCAGTAACTCGGTGCCCTCGGCATTGGGCCTCCAGTATGTTGTACATGGTAAACAGTCACCAGCCACTCTGCCCCCCTCGGAGGTGAGTGAGATTAAGCAAATGATGAAGAGGCAGCAGGAGCAGCTCGATCTGCTCACGCAGTCTATAGCTCTTCTTCAGGCTACACATACAGAGCGCCAGCGTAGCCGCTCACCACGGGCTACGCTCATAGTTTGCGACCGCTGCCAGCAGCCGGGACACATCGCCCGAAACTGCGATGGCCAACGTGTCCAGGGTAGGCGGGGGACGCCGCCTGCCCCCCAATCTTCTCGTCCACCGTTGGGAAACTAGTGCCCCCCGAGCCGCAGAGCCAATGCTCGGGCGGGGCAGCCACAGGCTCAGCTCATGTTAAAAAGGGAATCGCTGACGTACCCAAGTTAATTGCAAATTGCCCACACGTTGATGTAAACATGGCAGGGGTCACTGTGTCATGTTTGGTCGATACTGGGTCAATGGTAACTACTGTAACCGAAAGTTTTTTTCGGAGGCATTTTGAGCCATGGGGGGAGGATCGCCTCAAGGCCTGTCATTGGCTCCAGCTTAGAGCAGCCAACGGCCTTGACATTCCCTACATTGGCTTTTTGGAAATTACTGTGGAGCTCTGTGGCAAAGTAATCCCCCAATGCGGCGTGTTAATAGTTCGCGACCCCCCGGGTGGTGTCTCTTCCCAAACTCCTGGAGTCTTGGGGATGAACATCTTGCGTAAATGCTACCAGGAGTTATTCGGGCAGTTCGGGCCTGCCTTATTCGATACGGCTCCTGTGGTGACCTCTCCTAGTGAGCTGGTCGATGCACTTCAACAGTGCCATGCTGCTGGAATGAAGCAGCTTCCACGGCAACCTGGTAGGGTCAAGGTACGGGGGGGAGGCTCTATTCGCATACCCGGGGGTACTATAAAAATTGTTGCTGCCACCTGTTCGCAGCAGTACTCTGGTACCACAGTGTTGTTTGAACCATTGGAGTCTGGGCTACCAGCAGGACTGCTGGCATCACCAGCTCTGGTTCAAGTGGTCCGGGGTACTGCCTACATCCCTATTGTCAATGTTTGTGACACTGATGTGCTGCTTTATCCTCGTACCCTTGTAGGGACGCTGGACGCTGTCAATGTGGTGAGCCTTCCGGCAGGGGTGATGGAAGTCCCATCCGTGGCTGCGAGTGCCTCCTCACAAACTGCTGCCGCTACAGCTGCGGACTCCTTCGCAGCAATTGACCTGCCCTCCCTGTCCCCAGAGGAGCAAGGAGAGGTACGGTCATTACTTAGGAAATACACATCTGTCTTTGCTGCACATGATCAGGATTTGGGCTGTACAAATCTGATCTCCCACGACATCCCCCTCATGGATGATGTCCCGGTCCGACAGCGCTACCGCCGTATTCCTCCATCGGAGTATGAGTTGGTAAAGGAGCATATCCATCAGCTCTTAGAGGCACAGATAATCAGAGAGAGCTCCAGCCCATATGCTTCACCCATTGTCCTTGTCCGGAAAAAGGATGGCAGCATCCGTCTGTGCGTTGACTACCGTCAGCTCAACCTCAAGACCCGAAAGGATGCTTTTCCGCTACCACGAATCGAAGAGTTGCTCGACGCATTGACGGGGGCCCGCTGGTTTTCCACTATGGACCTGGCCAGCGGGTACAACCAAGTCCCTGTGGCGGAGAGTGACCGGCAAAAAACAGCCTTCTGTACGCCCTTCGGTTTGTTTGAGTGGAATCGCATGCCTTTTGGGCTCTGCAATGCCCCCAGCACCTTTCAACGCTTGATGCAAAGAGTCTTTGGAGACCAGCAATGCCAGTCTCTCCTACTTTACCTGGACGATATTGTTGTGTTTTCGTCCACGGTTCTGCAACATCTCGAGAGGCTGGACGTGGTGCTGGGGAGGTTGCAGAAAGAAGGGCTCAAAGCTAAGTTGAGCAAGTGCCGTTTCTTCCAGCGGGAGGTGCACTACCTGGGCCATGTGATCTCGGATCAGGGGGTAGCAACGGACCCTGGCAAGATAGAGGTAGTAGCCAACTGGCCTACACCATCGACAGGAACGGAATTACGTTCCTTCCTGGGATTTGCCAGCTACTACCGACGTTTTGTCGAGGGTTTCGCCAAGCTAGCTGCTCCCCTACACCGTCGAGTTGCTGAGCTTACTGGAAAACGGTCCAGGAAACGGCCTGTCCAGAGTGATGCTGGACCCTGGACCACAGAATGCCAGCAGAGCTTTGATGATTTAAAAGCTAAGCTCTCCACGGCCCCGGTGCTTGCCTATGCTGACTTCTCCCTCCCATTTATTTTGGAGGTTGACGCGAGTCATGCTGGATTGGGGGCAGTGCTCTCCCAGGAGCAGGAAGGGAAGGTTCGGCCGATTGCGTACGCCAGTCGTGGGTTGCGCCCGACTGAGCGTAACATGTCCAACTATAGCTCTATGAAGCTTGAGTTGTTGGCCCTTAAGTGGGCCCTGACCGAGAAGTTCCGGGAGTACCTTCTAGGCCATAGGTGCGTGGTCTATACAGATAACAACCCCCTGAGCCATCTCGCTTCAGCCAAACTGGGAGCTGTTGAGCAGCGCTGGGCCGCCCAGTTGGCTTCCTTTGATTTTGAGTTGAGGTACCGATCAGGTAAAAGCAACCGAAATGCAGACGCCCTGTCTCGTTTGCCTGGACCCACCATAACAGAAGGGGTTCCAGGTATGTGTGTGCCTGAACAGCTGCAGCAAGTGCTGCAAGGAGTTGCTGCACGGGCAATGCAGTCTGTAATGACTGCTTTGCCTCATATTGCCCCTGCTGACCTCCATGAGCTTCAGCAGTCAGACCCTACTCTACAGGAGCTCCTCCCGTTCTGGCAACAGAATCGACAGCCCACTCGTGAAGAGAGGCGGGCCCTTTCTGCATCCGCTGTCTTGGTGCTAGCCCAGTGGGGCCGCCTGGTGGAGTTAGAGGGGCTGCTGTATCGGCAGGTGTTTCGTCCTGATGGAGGTGGGTCTGTGTACCAACTCCTGCTGCCCCGTGCCCTGGTACGGAATGTCCTTACCCAGGTCCATCAAGAACATGGACACCAAGGCATAGAGAGGACCCTGGCCCTGTTGCGCTCCCGGTGCTATTGGCCAGGTATGTCTCGTGAGGTTGCGGAATGGTGTCAGGCTTGCGAGAGATGTCAGCACGCAAAAGACAACCAACCTGTCGCTCATGCCTTCATGGGCCACTTACTGGCTTCAAGGCCAAATGAAATCCTTGCAGTGGATTTCACCCTTTTAGAGCCGACCCAAGCGGGTGTGGAGAACGTGCTTATCATGACCGATGTGTTCAGCAAGTACACACTTGCCGTCCCCACTCGCGATCAGCGCCCCTCCACTGTGGCGCAGGTCCTGGTTTCAGAGTGGTTTGCAAAGTTTGGGGTGCCAGCTCGCATACACTCTGACCAGGGCCGCAACTTTGAAAGCACGTTGATCCAGCAGTTGTGTGGCTTGTATGGGGTCACAAAGTCTCGCACCACCCCGTACCACCCTGCTGGTAACGGGCAGTGCGAACGCTTCAATCGCACTCTTCACAACATGCTCCGGGTCCTGCCTGCATCCCGTAAGAGGGACTGGGCTGATTGCTTGCCTCAGGTGCTCTATGCCTACAACACCACTCCTCACCAGTCGACAGGGGAATCTCCCTTCTTTTTGATGTTTGGGCAAGAACCGCGGCTTCCCATCGACTTCTTGTTGGGTAGAGTTCCAGACCCCGTAGGAGGGAGTGTTCATGAGTGGGTACAAGAGCACCAGGCCCGTCTCCAGACGGCCTTTGAGGGTGCAAGGGAAAGATTACGCCTTGCTGCCGCACGCAGGAAGGCTAATCATGACCAGCGTGTCAGAGATGTACCGCTGAGTGAGGGTCAGCTCGTACTGCTGCGCAACCACACTACCAAGGGCCGGCGTAAGACCCAGGACTTATGGGGCCCAGTCACCCATATTGTCCTGCAAGGCCCAAGGGATGGTGGTCCAGTGTACACTGTGGCTCCAGTCGATCAACAGTCCCGAGTGAAGAGGGTACACCGGTCCCAGTTGAAGGCTTTGCTTGGCAGTGACCACGCTAGCGCGGCCCCGGTGGAGAGTCCCCGAATTGTACGTACTCCTCCAGTTGAAGAGGGACAGTTCATGGATGGTGATCTGTTCTTGCAACCACCAGCCATGGAAATTCCCTGGACTGCCTCCCGGGCTCCGGTCCATCCAGGATCAGGGACCTCACAGCCACTAGCGACTCCCCCCGCTCACACGATGAACCAGCAGTCGCCTGTACTAGAGCCTGCTACTAATTCCAGCCTAGAGGAGGCTCCGGTACGCCGGTCCACTAGGTCTACAGCAGGACGGCATAAAAATCCCCACAATCTCCCAAGGTCTACGGCTAAACCCTCACCTAGGGAGCCTGCAGCGTCTTCCAGATCAGTGTTTGCCATGCATAGGCCGTGGTGCTAGAGTGCGTCGCTTCATCGTCGGGGCGCCGATGCCAGTTGGGGGGGTAGAATGTGGCAAGACCAGGTCTGGTGGTCTATGCTGAGGGCATTGTTACTCGCCGCCTTGCGGCGCTGAGCTGGTGGACTATTTAAGCGCTCCCATCCCATGTCACTCCCTGTTTGCCCGCACTTCCCACTGGGCCGTGTGACTCTGCTCCTCTCCAGTCCTAGGTAAAGTCCCAAATGCGTGGCTCCAAATTGCATACATCTCCCCATTTCTTACAATATTATTCTTTTAGCGCTGCTGTATGACTGCAGCCTCACACCGCCAGTTTGCACGGCCTGATTTTGTGTGTCGCGCCCGGGGCATGCTGCCTCATCTGCTGTGACTGGTAATACTCCTCTCCCCATTCATTCATTCACAAAAATCTAACTACTGCTCTCCTAGTCCCCGATGGTGATTGGCCTTGTCTGTGCTGGGCATTGTTGGGCATCACTGTGTCCGTTCAATTGGGGCAACAGGTATAATTTTATTTATTTATTGATTAAGACAGCCTTTAAATCCCGCTGTCTCCTCATAGTGCTACTGCAGGATTGGCAGCTGGTGTCCGCGGCTTGGGCCAGCCCGTGCCCTGCCCCGCCCCCCTGCGGCATTTGCTTGTACAGTACATAACTTTCTGTGTGCGCTCTCCAGTCTATCACAGCGGTAGGTGCGCGCCTCAGTCACACCTACCATATTTAATAGCAGATTAATTATTATTATTAATTCCCAGGTGTCAGCGGCGGTCTGCAGCGTTGGGACACGTCTCCTCTGCTGCAAAGCAGCAGAGGAGACGTGTCCCCCCCCCCCCCCCCCCTTGCTTTTACCATCCCCGTTTCCATTCACTGTAACATTGTGTTTTTGTTTGGTGCTGCTGCTTCCCTCTGACCCGTTCTGCCCCCACCTCCTCTGTGGCCCCGCTTCCATCCAGCGGTCGGTGCTCCAGCCGCGCTCTGCGCGCTTGGCTCACTCGGAGCCAACCCCCCCCCATTCTCGTCTGTCAGGCACGGAGGGCTGCTGAACGGAGCGGTCGTGGTGCAGTGGGAGCTAGTATTTTAAATTAGTATCTTCAAATTGCAAGTTCTTAATTTTGTGTTACCAATGTCTAAAAATAAATTGAATGTACTTTAAATGGAACCTTGGCCTGTCCTATTACTTACCTGTGTGCCTTGAGGAAAAGTTCCCTATAACTAAAAATAGGGTGGCGTTGTTGCAACCACTACTCTCATTTAGAAGTACTCCAAATTACCACCAGCTAAGGCTCGGTACCACGACACAGGGATCTGCTCTTGGATCGGTTTGTGCTCAGTTCTGCTGCTGTGTTTCGGACAGTGCGCTGTGGCTCAGATCAGATACTCTGTCCCGGAGGAGGTGAGGGACGGGACTGTTGTTGGAAATGTTGCAAAGGATCTTGGTCTGGATGTGTCCTCTTTGCGTGAGAGACGGTTCCGTGTTGTTTCTGAATCAAATGAAGATATTTCTGCAGTAAACGCAGATGACGGCGCTTTGTACGTCCACGGCCACATTGACAGAGAGCAGCTGTGTCAGGGCAGCGGTACATGCCTGATGGAGCTGAAGGTTCTGGTAGAAAACCCTTTGGAAGTTCACTATGTGGTCGTAGAAGTCACTGACGTCAATGACCACGCTCCCACTTTTCCTAAAGGAAATGAAACTATAGAGGTATGGGAAAATACTCTGTCTGGAAAACGATTCCAGCTTCATCCTGCTAATGATCCTGACGCAGGAGTAAACTCTATTCGAACCTACACGTTGTCTGCTAACGAACATTTTGACATCGCGAAAGTGATGTGATTAAAACTCCATTTTTAGTTTTAAAAAAACCATTAGACCGAGAAGAACACAGGAAACACACGTTGCTCCTTACAGCTGTAGATGGAGGTAAACCCCGAAGATCAGGGACATTAAATGTTACAATTATTGTCCTGGACAGTAACGATAATAGACCAGTTTTCACTAAAGAGGTGTATGAGATTTCAGTAAAAGAAAATGTAGAAATAGGAACGACAGTGGTTGGTCTCACTGCAGCTGATGCTGACGAGGGAATAAATGGAGAGATTGAGTATCGTCTCAGAGAATCTCTGTTCCAAGGCGTACAGCACATGTTTGAGTTAGATAAAACTACAGGAGTTATAACAACCAAAGGACTAGTGAATTTTGAAGAGACTCATCAATATGAATTAGACGTGGAGTCGTCAGATAACGGGACGCCTCCATTGACAGGAGAATGTAGAGTAATAATAAAAATCCTAGATGTTAATGATAATTCCCCTGAAATAGAAGTGACCTCTTTGTCAAACACAGTGTCTGAAAACTCCAAACCAGGGACAGTAGTTTCTCTCATCCGCGTCAAAGACAAAGACTCTGGAGTGAATGGTAAAATCGTCGCTCACATCACAAACAACGTGCCTTTTGAGCTCAAACCCTCGTATAAAGAAAACACATATTCAGTTGTCACTAAAGACTTCCTGGACAGAGAGAAGGTTTCTAATTATGACATAAGAATAAAAGCCACTGACTGTGGAGAGCCTCCTTTATCCACCACTAAAACTCTCAGTATTCAGATATTAGATGTGAACGACAACAGTCCACAGTTTGAACACAATTCTCTGTACTTTTATATAGTAGAAAATAACGCGGCAGGGACGTCCCTGTTCTCTGTAACTGCAACAGACAAAGATAAGAATGAAAACGCACATGTTTCCTACAGCATTGCGCGTTCAGGACAAGAGAAGGACGTGGCGCTCTATTTAAACGTGAACGCTGAAAATGGTCAAATCACGGCCCTGAAAATCTTTGACTTTGAGACTTTAAAGTCTTTCCAGTTTCAAGTGGTGGCCTCAGACTCTGGGACTCCGTCACTGAGCAGCAACGTGTCAGTGCATGTGTTCATTCTGGACCAAAACGACAACGCTCCAGTCATTCTGTATCCAGTCAGCTCTAACGGTTCTGCTGAAGGAGTGGAGGAGATCCCCCGCAATGTGAACGCAGGACACTTGGTGACTAAAGTCAGGGCCTATGACGCGGACATCGGATATAACGGCTGGCTGCTGTTTTCACTGCAGGAAGTGACTGACCACAGTCTGTTTGGCTTGGACCGCTACACAGGACAGATCAGGACACTTCGCTCATTCACAGAGACAGACGAGGCCCAGCACAAACTCGTCATACTGGTCAAAGACAATGGCAACGTGTCGCTCTCAGCTACAGCTACTGTGCTTGTCAAAGTGGTGGAGGCCAGAGAGGCGTCTGCAGCTTCTGACGTGAAGAGCTCCGCTAAAGAGTCTGAGGACACTAATGTGACTTTTTACCTGATGATAACTCTGGCCTCGGTCTCAGCTCTGTTCATTATCAGTATCATTGTGCTGATTGCAATGCAGTGCTCCAAGTCCAGCACTGACTACACCTCCAAGTACTTACAGGACACAAACTATGACGGGACTTTGTGTCACAGCATCCAGTACAGATCTGGAGACAAGCGCTACATGTTAGTGGGACCCAGAATGAGCGTAGGCTCCACTATAGTCCCAGGGAGCCAAGCCAACACACTAGTGCTGCCGGACAGGAGGAGGCCCTCTGAGGAGGTAAGAGTCAAGTAATTGCGATTGTATTGAACACAATCTTTTTTCATGTATCTCAATTGCGACATTATCTCCTGACTCCATGACAGTGACCTGACTTCCCACAAAAATCTCTTCACATGTTCATCAATGAGAAATATATAATCAGAAGAATCAGAATCAGAATCATTTTTATTGCCACGTAAGTAACAGGAAGTCACAGAATTGGAAATTGCTTTGGCTCAGTGCAACAGTCAGAAAGTCGGTTTATTAACTCACTGACTGCCAGGCATTTTCAGATTTGAGAAGTGCATTCTGCCAGCAATTTCAGGTGATTTGACCCAACTTTGAAGTGCCACAGAATATTCATTTTTTAGACGATGTAATCACCAAGGGCACCAAATTAAAGATTCACCTCTCTGCTTTACTCTGAAAAAAACAGTTTGTTTCTACCTCTTACCGTTCTTGCGTTATTTGCCATAGAACAAAGCATACTTTCACCCATAACACCTGGTCTGAGCAAGAAAACAGAGGAAACGAGCTGTATGTAAACAGGAACATATCAAGCAGAAAAGAGACTTTAGATGCATTTTTGCTGCTTTAGTGACAACTCAAAACATCTCCACACTTGTTCCATTACAAAAATTATAAAAACATGACTCTGAAATAATACTTTTGATGGCAAATTGTTGGCAATTTATTCACAGATAGAAAATTTAACTTTCTTCTATACCATCAACCAAAACGTCAAACAACAACAACACAAAGATCAATAAAACTATAGATGTATAAAATAGAATGAAGCATGTGAATTTGAGTGTGTGTGTGTGTGAATGTCAGTGTGCGAGTGAGTGTCTGTGTGTGTGAGTGTCTGTGTGTGTGAATTTCAGTGTGCGAGTAAGTGTCTGTGTGCGTGAGTGAGTGAGTGAGTGCGTGTGAGTGTTTGTGAGTGTGTCCGATAAATCATGATCAGGTTTGCTGAACGAATCCGAGGCATCAGTAACAACAGCAGCTGATACGCTGCGAGAGGCGGAGGGTGTGTCTCTGCTCGGGGCTCTTGCTCCGCGCAAATGTAGCTGCTGAGACGGACCTCCACCGGGGTCTCCACTCTCTCCCCTCTCGACCTCACTCACTGATCCGCTAGTCAATCTCTGAAGCAGTGTCAGCTGCTTATAACTATTCTTTTTCGCCATCACTCTTGCTATACTATCGCTAAACTAGATCGGCTGATCCGTCTCAATGCTACGCTATCATCGCTCTGCTACAGCAGCACGCTGTCCAAACACTCCCACACTCCTCCTCCTCCTCTCCACTGACTTATGACCTCTCCTGTGGTGCAATACTGCATCCTACTGGTGGTGATTTATCATTACAGGTACATTTGCACTATATATCAGTGTTGTGGGTCATTAACAAGGTGCGCCAGACATTACTGCAGCCTCCCGTGTAATAACACGAAAAAGTCGTCTAAGTCGTCTTGGGCAGTGAGCGTCACTATACAATAGAACGACTTTTGTCGTCATGGGCAGTGAATGAGTTAACTTTTTGTTTGAATATTCCTCCATCTCCTATAATATCTTAAGCTTGTTTGTAATACATTTTAGTTATTGCATATCTGTACTGTATGTGCGTGTGTTGAACATAGTTTGAACAAAACGAGAATTCTTCAGAGAAAAACAACAGAGTAGATGTATTTACGAATCTTTCCTTGAAGTGAAATGGCAGACAAAAGTGTTTCTGAGCTCTCTCACACTTGAACAAATGGCACGAGAGCGCCACCTCTTGGTACTGTGGTGACACTCAAAATACACCAGTTCTGAAATGGAAATATTACAAAACTTAATTCTATTCCCTGTAAACATCACCGTGAATGAGCGCCTCTTTTCCCAACCGCTGTCCATGGTGCTGGATGGGACAGTATTTCAGTTGCACATTGTCGTTTAAAAACCCTATATGCCCGCGTGCATCGGCGCCGATGCACACGCACATGTTTTACAAATGATCAATTTACTCGCGAACGGTAAAACGTAGCAACTTACTTTTTTTTCCTCTGTGAAGTACGTAAGCAGGGCTTTCCGAAACTCGTTTTGATTTGTCTGTGCGATGCACGGAGGATAAACTACGTTTGTCTGAAAGTCCGTGTCCAAAGCGTGACCGTGAGGTACAAACAGCTGTGAGATACTAACACACGGGGACTGCCAAAGATCGGCAGAGAGTGAGATCTCTCACTCCTCTGCGTTTACTTGTTGTCCCACAGTTGAAACTACAGCTGCGATTGCAATAACCGGCTGAAGAGTGCGCATTATTGATAAAGACGATAATAAATACAGTAAAATGACATTATGTATATATGATGTATATAAATATATGTATTATATAAATAATTGATGTTTTTTTTTTTTGCCTCAGTTTCTTATGTTTTACGTTTTTTACAGCTGTACTACAGAAGCAACCCCAGAATTATAGACAAACTGCTTCAGGAAGGGCATCAGGAGTACAGAGTTTTTTGCTTTTATAGTGGAATTTTGTAAAAAGTATAATAGTTAGAGATTCAATGTTGTTCCCCATTATCCCCAAGACCATAAATAACATTTCTATGCAGTGTAAAAAGTTGTTTATAGCATTTCATTGTGTTTTTTCAATACATTTTTGTTAAATTGATTTTCCGTTTGATTTTTTTCTTTGTCTTCATGATTCCATAATTTTTATATGATTCATATGACAGCTTTACAATATGAATATTCTAAAACCCCAGGTTGTACTGAAAAAAAAGTATACTGCTTGACTCTGCATCAAAAGATGACTGTTTTATGAACAATTATACACAAAGAAAACCAGGCGAGGAAAGTTCCCCAAAATGACCCATGTGCGTAGAGGGTTAAATGTTTTCCAGCTCCGTATTTAAACTATTAGTTTAAAGCTGTTCTCGATGTAGTTAATTGAATATAAAATCATAATATTGTTGTAATGTATCCTCTCAGCTCTTCTTTCTTTGGCCTCACGGTGGCAGTCTCCAACAGACAAACGTCTCCACTTGTTTGTCCCTCCTCTCGTAGCGCTTTGTTTCCATTTTACTGAAGCGGAGTGGTCACTTGTGCGTAGCGTTATGCGGACTATGCTTTTTGTTCCACGTTTTTATTTCAATAGATTCTTTTAATGAGATTTTAGAGGAAAATGAAGCGGCCTTTTCTACCAGGGATCTGCTCTTGGATCGGTTTGTGCTCAGTTCTGCTGCTGTGTTTCGGACAGTGCGCTGTGGCTCAGATCAGATACTCTGTCCCGGAGGAGGTGAGGGACGGGACTGTTGTTGGAAATGTCGCAAAGGATCTTGGTCTGGATGTGTCCTCTTTGCGTGAGAGACGGTTCCGTGTTGTTTCTGAATCAAATGAAGATATTTTTGCAGTAAACGCAGATGACGGTGCTTTGTACGTCCACGGCCACATTGACAGAGAGCAGCTGTGTCAGGGCAGCGGTACGTGCCTGATGGAGCTGAAGGTTCTGGTAGAAAACCCTTTGGAAGTTCATTATGTGGTCGTAGAAGTCACTGACGTCAATGATCACGCTCCCACTTTTCCTAAAAATAGTCAAACCTTTGACATCGGAGAGCACATTTTGCCTGGGAAGAGACTTCAGCTCCACCCAGCGCTAGACCCCGATACAGGAGTGAATTCTATCCGCACCTATATACTGTCTGCGAATGAACATTTTGACATAAACATCAGAGAGAGTGACTCAGGTAAAATACCCTTTCTGGTTTTGAAGAAATCTTTAGACCGAGAACAAAGCAGCAAACACACGCTGCGTCTCACTGCGGTAGATGGCGGGAAACCACAAAAATCTGGGACACTGAATATCACTATAATAGTTCTGGACAGTAATGATAATAAACCAGTGTTTACACAAGAGGTTTATCATATCACAGTGACAGAGAATTTGGAAATAGGAAACGTAATATTTAAGCTTAACGCGACTGATGCTGACGAGGGAATAAACGGAGACATTGAGTACAGCCTCGGGGAAACACTGAGCCCAGCTGTGTATAGAACATTTGAATTAAATAAATTAACAGGAGAACTTGTAACAAGAGGTTCTATAGACTTTGAAGAAACCGATCACTACGAAATAGATGTCGAGGCATCAGATAAAGGCACGCCTCCATCAAGAGGAGAATGTAGAGTAATAATAAAAATTATAGATGTTAATGATAATTCCCCTGAAATAGAAGTGACCTCTTTGTCAAACACAGTGTCTGAAAACTCCAAACCAGGGACAGTAGTTTCTCTCATCCGCGTCAAAGACAAAGACTCTGGATTGAATGGTAAAATCCTCGCTCACATCACAAACAACGTGCCTTTTGAGCTCAAACCCTCGTATAAAGAAAACACATATTCAGTTGTCACTAAAGACTTCCTGGACAGAGAGAAGGTTTCTAATTATGACATAAGATTAAAAGCCACTGACTGTGGAGAGCCTCCTCTATCCACCACTAAAACTCTCAGTATTCAGATATTAGATGTGAACGACAACAGTCCACAGTTTGAACACAATCCTCTGTACTTTTATATAGTAGAAAATAACGCGGCAGGGACGTCCCTGTTCTCTGTAACTGCAACAGACAAAGATAAGAATGAAAACGCACATGTTTCCTACAGCATTGCGCGTTCAGGACAAGAGAAGGACGTGGCGCTTTATTTAAACGTGAACGCTGAAAATGGTCAAATCACGGCCCTGAAAAGCTTTGACTTTGAGACTTTAAAGTCGTTCCAGTTTCAAGTGGTGGCCTCAGACTCTGGGACTCCGTCACTGAGCAGCAACGTGTCAGTGCATGTGTTCATTCTGGACCAAAACGACAACGCTCCAGTCATTCTGTATCCAGTCAGCTCTAACGGTTCTGCTGAAGGAGTGGAGGAGATCCCCCGCAATGTGAACGCAGGACACTTGGTGACTAAAGTCAGGGCCTATGACGCGGACATCGGATATAACGGCTGGCTGCTATTTTCACTGCAGGAAGTGACTGACCACAGTCTGTTTGGCTTGGACCGCTACACAGGACAGATCAGGACACTTCGCTCATTCACAGAGACAGACGAGGCCCAGCACAAACTCGTCATACTGGTCAAAGACAATGGCAACGTGTCGCTCTCAGCTACAGCTACTGTGCTTGTCAAAGTGGTGGAGGCCAGAGAGGCGTCTGCAGCTTCTGACGTGAAGAGCTCCGCTAAAGACGCTGAGGACACTAATGTGACTTTTTACCTGATGATAACTCTAGCCTCGGTCTCAGCTCTGTTCATCATCAGTATCATTGTGCTGATTGCAATGCAGTGCTCCAAGTCCAGCACTGACTACACCTCCAAGTACTTACAGGACACAAACTATGACGGGACTCTGTGCCACAGCATCCAGTACAGATCTGGAGACAAGCGCTACATGTTAGTGGGACCCAGAATGAGCGTAGGCTCCACTATAGTCCCAGGGAGCCAAGCCAACACACTAGTGCTGCCGGACAGGAGGCCCTCTGAGGAGGTAAATACATAATTCTATTTTCACCCAAACTTAAACATATTTCAATCTGGAGAGACCAAGACAGACACATTTAGAAAGATTTATTTTTTTAAGAAGCATTGACCCCGGCAGGGACACTTGCAGAGGGGAGATAATTTGCTGCCAAAGATATCAGATCCCCCGGGGTCAATTACTGGTGGTGGCTAGAGCATGGTGTCAAGAGCTTTGAGAATCGCTGGTTAGTAGGAAGTGGCTGCTTTTAAACGGCCCGCTTAGATGTCAGTAGGTTGGCTGGCCGAAATGTGTGATTGGCTGAGGCTTAAGGCTGGCAGAGCTATGTGATTGCTGAGGCTCAAAAGGCTGGCCTTGGATGGGGTGAGAGCTGCAGCAGTGGTCTTCTCAGTCTGAATTTGCGCGTAAGCTTCATTTTTACTCCTAAATCTTTACATTTATTTCAATTAATATAAACTAAGCTTGTTAGGCCCGTTAGTAGTTTGTACGCTCTTGTAAAACTTACCTTTTTAAATACAATCACCAACAGGCAATAAAGAAACGTGTTGTGAGTGAATAGATTCAAATCAGACATTCTATTAAAACACAGATGTTATAAGCTTCCTTAGGCAGGTCTTTGCATATTCCACCCATATATCCGGAAATACTTGAGACAATGATTGGGTACTAATATTTATTGCATTTGGACAGGAAATGTTCATTAAGCTAGGCTATATTTGAATGCAGCCATAATGAACAGGTGTGTTACTGTGCAGCTGAGGCTGATTGATGTTGAGCTCTGGCGCAGGCGTGCAGAGGGAGGAGTCAGTATGGTAGGCATGACGTTTTTGTCTTCCAGTCTTAATTTTTGCTTAAGTATCATAACAAACAGATTATGATAAAACCTTATTTACCCCACTGTAGGAGAAATCTACAAGCAATTGACAGTGCAACATACACATTTAAAGGGCCCATATCACAGTTGACTTTTCTCTGCTTTAAACATGATTACAGTGCTATTTGGCCTTCATACACATGCCCAGAGTAGTTTATTCATTGATTCTGTCAATCTTTAGTAAGAGAGCGATCTGTCTCCTTCAGCCTCGAGGCACAGAAACGCTCGGGTCCACTTCAGTGACGAAAACCATACTGATGACGCATATGACGCGCATAAGCTCGTTTGCTTTGTATTGAAAATAGTTTTTAAATACTTTCGTCAAAACGGGCTAAACAATACACAATTAGTATGCTGTTTTCAAAAATAATAAAAACAAATTAAAAGCTGGCGGGAGGTGATTGACTGATCAAAACAGCGAATCAGAGCGCACAGACTCCGGCTTCAGAGTCCAGCGTCTGTGGTCTGGTCTCGCGGACACCACATAGAGCTGCTGTTTTTCTGCTTTTGTCAGCGACTAAAAGTGTTAGGATCACGTCAACTTGAATGAAATGTATTTTGGGTGTAAATATGTGACACACTATTTGGCCCGAAGAGGAAGAAAGCGGCACAACTTCTCATCTGCTCATCTCATGGATCTATTATAATACCGGTTCGTCTGCGACACTTCACTGAGACAGTTCCAGAACTACAGGGACAATGGAACTGGACTTACTCAAAAGCTGATCTGGAAACACATTATTCCCACGGTAAAAGACGTAACACGGACCCCCTCGATCTGTAAGTAGTGACGCTAACTCGCCGTATACTTCTTTAAACTAAATAATCAGAGTCTGATTGTGCATTGAGGACATAGGGCTCGATGTGACTGATTGTCATTGGAAAAAGTTTATGCTTATGTATGAAATGACTATGTACCAGACGATAAACGACAAGAGCGTGATGCTACGTCACCGTGCGGGCGGGGGGAGGCGGGCTCACAGGCAGGGAGCAGACTCTTCTCTGGATCAGCTCGTTTGAGTTGTGGTGACGTCACCTCTGCACAAGAGATGGCTCTAATCTCACAAGCTTTGATTGTTGTGTGATACACCACACACATTATCACACATGTGCAGAGGATTGAGTGTGAAACATGAAGAAAAACGTGATATAGGACCTTTAAGTTTAATGTTGCTGCTTTTGTGATATGGGAGGAGCACGTAGTTTTAGCAAGGAAACAGATGTGTTTGAAGAAAACAATATTTTACAAAAATAAAGGTAAAAAAATTACAAAAAGTCATTTAAAAGTACTGATTAAAATGGTCAATTAAAAACAGGTCCCAACGCGTAGCTGGTCCGCCCAGGTTCTTCCAGCGAGCCGGGTCCTGCAGGCACAAAGAGCACAGCGTCAGCGGAGGGAAGGCCAACAGCAAACTACACGCATTCGTCCACAAAACACGAGCACCGCTGCTGTCCCACTCACCAGCGAGGCCGAGCTTTTACACTCGGCCGCCGTCTGGATTACGCCTCGCGGTGCTCAACCCGGTATAATGCGCCTCTTGCGGTGCCACGGACCCTGGAGGCAGAGCACAACCACACAAAGCGCACACACACCCCAAAGAGTCCCCCCGCCAAAGGCAGTTCGGTAAAGTTAGCTTGATATTCACAGATTCGGACTTCCGCGGTGAATATCTTACGAAAGCTACGTTGTTAAACGAAAGTAATTGTGCCAAAATGATCACCTCTACATGGGCTAACTACTACAACATCGATTTTTCTAATCCAATGCGCTGTTTTAATGCAGAGAAATCCATTGAATCCAATGCGCCGCAAGTGCCGAGAAAAGCACTTAGGGAGCGTCAACAAATGCCAATACCAGCTGTGTAAACGAACAATAGTTTTTATTTTAAGCCAAGTACACGCACTAAACTCTCAAATACTATAAATAGCTACCATATCTAACTACTACAACCTTTGTTTTCAGCATTTGTTTCTTTTTTGTATTTTTTATGAATAAATAGGATTTAATATGAATATGAATTTTGAATAACTTTTTTTCAAAGAGGGGCGTGGTCACCAAATTCTCAGGTATGATCAATAACTGCCATATCTAACTACTACAACTTTTGTTTTCAGCAGAAATATCTTTTTTATATTTTTATCATAAAATAATGAAATGTAATTCCTGTTACAATAGAACATTATTTTATCTCCGTAGCAGTGGAACTGGACCACATCCAGCTTTGTGGAATCAGCTTCAACACCACTGACAAACCCATGAGATATTTTAATTATTGGTTATACCTGAGAATTTGGTGACCACGCCCCTTTTTGAAAAAAAGTTATTCAAGATTTGTAGTCATATTTCATCATAATTAATCATAAAAATATAAAAAAGATATTTCTGCTGAAAACAAAAGTTGTAGTAGTTAGATATGGCAGTTATTGATGATACCTGAGAATTTGGTGACCACGCCCCTTTTAGAAAAAAAGTTATTCAAGATTTGTAGTCATATTTCATCATAAAAAATATAAAAAAAGAGGCAAATGCTGAAAACAAAGGTTGTACAAGTTAGAAGTGTTAGTTATTTATTGTGTCCTAGAGTTCTGTGCGTGTACATGGCTTCAAGTAACAGCTATTGTTCGTTTACAAAGCTGGTATTGATACTTGTTGACGCTCCCTATGCGCTTTTCTCGGCACTTGGATTGAATGGATTTCTCCGCATTAAAACAGCGCATTGGATTTGAAAAATCGATGTTGTAGTAGTTAGCCTAAGTAGAGGTGATCATTTTGGCACCATTACTTTCGTTTAACAACGTTGCTTTCGTGAGATATTCATGGCGGAAGTCCGAATCTGTGAATATCAAGCTGACTTTACCGAACTGCCAAAGGCTACTTCATGAACACCACTACTCTATGTGTTAAGGTACTTACACGCGAACTGCGGTAGTTCAGCTTCGTGGTGTTCTCTGTGGACTCGTGAGGCGATGGCGATTACTGTGGTACTGTGCTGTGCCGTCCCGTGTTCTGCTCCCTCTTATCACTGCGTGCCCTTTTCTGCTCCCAGTCTGCCTTTATGTCTGTCCCTGCTCATTGAGTAGCAGGTGCGCTGATTAACTTGGAGCGCAGGCATTGGATGAGGCTTGTGTGGCTCGGGGCAGCAAGGCATAAGGTTAAAATCACATTAAGAGTAAATAAAAACGCTCATAAAAACAAATAAAACCATGCATTAAAACAAGCCAGTCAACAAATAAAACCACGCAATAAAAGTCCACACTAAAACATGATCAAACATGCCTGCTAACACTTTCATTATATCTTGCCCTATAGCCACAGAGACACGTGTTGGTCATTCTAGACTCACTCTCCATGGTGCTCAAAAGTGTCTTCATATATTTTCAATAATTATTTTTGAAAAGGGGAATTATAGCCAAACAGTCAAACACATAAATCAACAACATCATTTTCACGTACATCACATGGTGTCACTGTAACACAGTCTGTTCAAACGCTGTGGGCTGAGTCTGATTCTGTTCCTCCCACTTTCTGTTGGGAACAAAAACCTGCGCGTCTTACATCGCGGATCGGGCTGAGTGAGTTAAACAGTGTTTTTCAATCGATGGATTCATAACTTATTATAATCAGAGCACTTTTCACGTGTTGGATTATGTTTCCAGTCATGGGCCTAAGACCGTGTCGCGCTATGTGCTGGAGGAGCTCTCTTTTTGCTGTAGCTTTGTGGACAATAGCTTCTGCGCAGCTGAGATATTCTATCACTGAAGAAGTGAAAGAAGGAACCATCGTCGGGAATGTAGCAAAGGATCTGGGTTTGGATAAGAGTGCGCTCAGAGACAGGAAGTATCGCATTGTGTCTGCTGCTGCAGAGTCGCTTTTTCACGTGGATCAGAAAGACGGTCATTTGTACGTGAGCCGTAAGATTGACAGAGAAGAGGTGTGTGAAAAGACCACGACGTGTTTAATCAATCTAAAGACTGTGTTAGAAAACCCCCTGGAGGTGCATTATGTTGGAGTGGAGGTGCAGGACATCAACGACAATGCTCCAGTTTTCCCTGAATTAGAAACAACACTGGACATTTCTGAGTCCGTGTTACCGGGAGTGCGGATTCCACTGAAAGCAGCGAGAGACGCGGACAGTGGGTCATTTTCTATACAGCAGTACAGGCTCAGTGCAAACGAACATTTTCGATTAGAAGTGACAGATATGGAAGAAGATGGTAAAATACCAACATTAATTGTACAAAAACCATTAGACAGAGAAACAGAGAAGCGTCACTCCCTTGTGCTGACGGCTGTAGATGGAGGAAAACCTCCTAAATCTGGTCAGACGAGAATTCATGTAAATGTTTTAGACGTAAATGACAACGCTCCTGTTTTTACTGGTGGTGAATTATCTGTGTCACTTACAGAAAATGTAGCAATAGGTACGACCGTAATACAGGTGAACGCCACTGATTCAGACGAAGGAACAAATGGAGAAGTGATGTATTCATTTAGCAACAGCGTAAAACAACGACTTAGAGATTTGTTTGACATAAATTCACAAACAGGAGAAATAATTGTCAAAGGATTATTGAATTATGAGGAGAAGGAAAAGTATGTGGTAGAAGTGGAAGCATCAGATAAGGGGTTTCATCCTTTAGCCACACAAAAAAAGCTCACTATAAAAATAGTAGACGTGAACGACAATGCGCCTGAGATTGAAGTCACTTCGTTTTCCAGCTCCATCCCTGAAGACTCTCGGCCCGGGACTACTGTGGCTCTGATCAGTGTTAATGACAGGGACTCTGGGCTGAACGGAAAAGTCACATGTTCAATAGAAGGAGATGTTCCCTTTACACTGTCTCCTTCTCTACAGGACAAAATGTTTTCACTCGTGACTAAATCTGCCCTGGACAGAGAGACGCAGACTCAGTACGTACTGTCTGTAGTTGCCAAAGATCACGGTCAGCCCTCACTCACTTCTGAAAAGAAAATTCTAATTTTCATTTCTGACGTGAACGACAACAGCCCAGAGTTTGTGGTGAAACCATATAGTTTTTATATCACTGAGGGCAACGACCCAGGAGCGCAGCTGTTTTCAGTTCAGGCTGTTGATCAAGATGAAGGAGAAAACTCTCATATTTCTTATCATCTTTACAGAGACGGAAGCAAGGAAAATAAAGTGACTTCATTTCTCAATATTAACAGTGAAAATGGTCAAATCACGGCCCTGAAAAGCTTTGACTTTGAGACTTCAAAGTCGTTCCAGTTTCAAGTGGTGGCCTCAGACTCTGGGACTCCGTCACTGAGCAGCAACGTGTCAGTGCATGTGTTCATTCTGGACCAAAACGACAACGCTCCAGTCATTCTGTATCCAGTCAGCTCTAACGGTTCTGCTGAAGGAGTGGAGGAGATCCCCCGCAATGTGAACGCAGGACACTTGGTGACTAAAGTCAGGGCCTATGACGCGGACATCGGATATAACGGCTGGCTGCTGTTTTCACTGCAGGAAGTGACTGACCACAGTCTGTTTGGCTTGGACCGCTACACAGGACAGATCAGGACACTTCGCTCATTCACAGAGACAGACGAGGCCCAGCACAAACTCGTCATACTGGTCAAAGACAATGGCAACGTGTCGCTCTCAGCTACAGCTACTGTGCTTGTCAAAGTGGTGGAGGCCAGAGAGGCGTCTGCAGCTTCTGACGTGAAGAGCTCCGCTAAAGACGCTGAGGACACTAATGTGACTTTTTACCTGATGATAACTTTGGCCTCGGTCTCAGCTCTGTTCATCATCAGTATCATTGTGCTGATTGCAATGCAGTGCTCCAAGTCCAGCACTGACTACACCTCCAAGTACTTACAGGACACAAACTATGACGGGACTCTGTGCCACAGCATCCAGTACAGATCTGGAGACAAGCGCTACATGTTAGTGGGACCCAGAATGAGCGTAGGCTCCACTATAGTCCCAGGGAGCCAAGCCAACACACTAGTGCTGCCGGACAGGAGGAGGCCCTCTGAGGAGGTAATAATCACATCTATAGTTGAAAACACAATTCTGATCAGCTCTCCGTTATTGTTTTACTGTTGCAGTTCCGCTTTTGGTCAAATGGTGGTAGTGTGGTTTACAAATGATGATGGTTTTGCTCCAGCATTGTTATCAGGCTGAGGGTGGTGTGTCTGATCCATGGATCTATTATAATAACTGGATAGGGTATCACTAGCTTTTAGCTGAAGAACCCATGTGCTTGGGGGATTCTCGCCGTACTGCAGACTAAACTAGACTAAATTCACGTGGGCTACCCAAACATTTTCCCCATAGAACTCAGTGTAAATTAAAACAGCTCGACCTCAGCTGACAGAGAACCTACAGGCCGGATTTTGTGGGGATTTGAAAGTCCCTTGTCATCCTGAACTTCTTAAATACTTTGATTTTCTTTAAATCCACACTTAAGTACCACAAACTCTGCTCGTCTGGCTCCCGCTCTAACTCCCGCTCTGCTGAGCAGCACTGATTGGTCAAAGCGTGGCCGAGGCCCTCTGTGCGCGTGCATTAGAGCCACACTCGCGTATTTGGCGCAACGCATCATGGGAGATCATCCACTTGATGGGAGATCATCCACCGGGAGGACCAGCCGATGCCCAAATACAGGCGAGTTCCCAAGGATCTTTGCGAGTTCCAGGCGATTTTTGCTATTATTTCAGCGTCCTGCCAGTACAATGCGCCACTGAGCACAAACCATTCATTTGAATACGGCGCCATCTTGGATCACCAGGGCTTGGTCTGATTATACGCCTTGCGGTTGCGATATTTTTGTTTTCCTTATTCTCTCAATCTCCAATTTCATATTGCAGAAGGGTTTCTGTCTCCTATAGACAATATCAATACATTGGATTAAAATCTGACATTTTTGTAATGCGTCTTTGAACAAAGAGGACCGCTGGTCAAGACAAAAACATGGAGATACGTGTTCTTTTTCCTGCTCTTTTGCGCAACATTTGGTACAAAAGTCACCGCTCGGATTAAATACTCTATCTGAAGAATCAAAGGACGGGAGTTTTGTTGGAAACATTGCAAAAGATTTAGGAATGGAAAAGATGTTGTTAGAGGAAAGACATTATCGGATCGCAGGTAGCTCAACAGACCATCTTTTTCATTTAAACAGACGATGGTTTACTCTATGTCAGTAGAAAAGTTGACAGGGAGACAAAATGCGAGCAGAGCAAGTCGTGCATTATCAATCTCAAAACCGTTCTAGAAAATTCACAACATTGTGGTTTGAAATACTTGATATACTGTAAATGACCATACCCCTGCATTTCTAGAGAAATGTCAGAAAAGTAGCTTGACATTTATGAATCCACTTTATCCAGAGCGCATTTTCAGCTACAACCTCCGCGGGATGCTGACAGTTTTCTGTTCAATGATACTAGCTGAGCCGCAGTGAGCACTTTCGTTTGGAGGAAGAGGTGAAGACCGTAAGATGCCCTTTCTCGTGTTGCAGAAGCAGCTGGACAGAGAAGCTTTAAGTGAACACAGGCTCGTCCTCACAGCAGTAGATGGCGGGAGACCAGTGCGCTCGGGCACCAATAGAATCGCTGTCAAGGTGTTGAATGTTAACGACAGCGCACTTATATTTACAAAGGATGTCTACACTGCTGTGTTGTTACAAAATGCTGAGCTCAATACTGTAGTCATTCACGTAAACGCGGCGGACATAGACGCGGCCAAGAACAGGGAAAGTGGATTTACATTTACAACACACGTTTAGGGTCGACTCTAACTCAGGGTAAATTCGTGTAACTGTGGAGGTTAATTTCAAAGAGAATGAGAGCTATTAAATCGACATTCAAGCTTCTGATAAAGGCGTGGTATCTTTGTCCAATTACAAAAAAGTAATGATAAAGTTCATTGATGTAAACGACAACGCCCCAGAAGTGGATATTACGCCATTTTCTAAAGTTGTATCTGAAGACGCGAGATTTGGAACGAGTGTAGCTGTGATTAGCGTCAGTGATCTAGATTCAGGGCTGAATCAAAAAGTCTCTAGCTTTCTCACTGGAAACAAACCTTTCATCTTAACTCAATCTTCACAAGATAATATGTATGCAATAGTCACCAAATTACTTCTAGACCGGGAACAAAAAGCTTATCATGACCTCACTGTAACAGCGAAGGATGGCGGGGATACACCTCTTAACACCAATAAAACTATACACGTGGCCTTGTCGGATGTAAATGACGACAGACCAGTGTTTTCCTCTGGAGCCTATAGTTTCTACATAACTGAGAACAATGAGGTTTCTGCCCCCGTGTTTTCAGTTACAGCGTTTGATTTAGATCTGGGGGACAATGCACTAATAACGACATTCCAACGGGGACAGGAGATAAAGGCGCGGGTTTAAATATTGACAGTGAAAATGGTCAAAATGGGACCCAGAATGAGCGTAGGCTCTGCTATAGTCCCAGGGAGCCAAAGCAACACACTAGTCCTGCCGGACAGGAGGAGGCCTTCTGAGGAGGTAAATCTCTTTAAACACAATCATTAAGGTTGTCAAGGTTGTTATATGATAGAAGTATAATAATACCATGTGTCAACACAACATATTTATCCTTGAATTTTGAGTTATTTGTTTCATCAATTAAGAATTGCCTTCATTAGATGGTTCTACAAATGGCATACGAGGTCTTTATTCCATTATGGTGCTTCCTGACCAAGTAGTCGCTGTCCATAGTACTGAAACTATATTGAAAGGCAGAACTCCCCCTATATCTTAGTAAAGTTTCATTCTTTGTTGGACTGTCTCGGTAGCATTTTTTTTTATCACAATATGTTTGATTAGGGTGATAGTACAATGGGATAATGGGAGACCTGTGAATGCTGTGGCTGTAAAGTGCTGAACTGTTTATTGTTTCTTCATGCAAGACACTGGTGTGTTTGACTGGTTGGAGGTGCCAATGGCACAGATTAGTGACCTTCTTTCGATCAGTTTGTTCCAGGGCAGATGTGGCTACAACAGTTTCAATGATTGCAATGTAAAACATCTTTGAGTGTAGAGAAAAGTGCTATAATACAGTATTATTATTATTACAAATCATTGGCTCCATGACAGTGTTTGTCAGCGCTGCTATCAAGCATATCGTAACATGTCTGCTCACTGTCTGTATGAAAAGTGGTCGAACAGAAGTGGTCTATGCATTGAATTATCCAATTTAATGCTATATTTGTAAATAAAAAAAATAAAATAAAATAAAAGGAAAATAAAGAAAAATAAGAGAAGTCTTCTCTTTTTTTGATCCTACAGCAGAAGAGGCAGCTGCTCTTGGATGAGGCTGTATTGTCATGTACATACGCAGTAAACCAGAAGTTATATGTGTAAAAACACATTTACTGTATATTTTTCTAAAATTGAATTTAAACTTTTGTCTTCTAAATTTCTCCCACTGAAAGATCTCAGCTCCTGTGGACTCACCACCTGCAGGAGGATCAGTGAGGGGCTGGTGCTCTGTGACTGGGTGCAGCTCTGACTGCCACCCCCCCGACCCAGAAATGGATTAAGGGGAAGAAAATGGATGGATGGATGGATGGACATCTAAATTTTAATATTTCATAATGATGACATCTCTCAATATTGTTGCATTGTGCCAATATAAATCACTTTGCTCGATAGTGGTTATAAAATCATATACACCATGAAGTACAACACAGAAGTCAGAGAGCTTGTTCCATAGGTCGGACTGCAGGCTCACTTATGGCTCTGCTCAGTTCATGTTTCTTTCTTCGGCATTACAGGAGGATAATTTATGTGAAAGTACAACCTGTCTACAATTATAGTAAGTAAACTAGTAAGTAAACTTTATTTATACAGCGCCCTTCACAGACCAGGGTCACAAAGTGCTGCACGTATAAAAAACAGACATAGTAAAAAAAATTATTCACTGCTCTCAGACAGCATCAGCAGGTCCTAGACACTTTACTAGCAGTAAGAGACAACACAAAATCATATGCTTTACTTGACAAATGATTGATATAAAATGACAATAATATATCACTAACATAACATTTAATTTCATGGACAAAACTATAAACTTGTCTGCCCTGATGAAAAGGCCCTGAAGTCGAAAAGATCACAGCACTGCACTCCGGAGCTTTTTCTCCCCACACACCACAAAATTATAGAGATTTGAAATTGACAGATTTTTATAAGCTTTGGTTTTGTGGAAACTAGTTTGAACGGTTTTGGAATCTTAATATTCTTTTATTATTCTATTACAGATTGTGACGCCGTCTTGTGTACAATAGCGACCATCCAGCTATTCATTAGTACAAAATTGACTCAATGGCAACATAGAGCATCATACTGTTTTTTGTGCGTCCCTGTCATTATCCATCCATCCATCCATTTTCTTCCGCTTTATCCGTTGCCGGGTCGCGGGGGCAGCAGTCTAAGCAGAGACGCCCAGACTTCCCTATCCACACACACTTCCTCCAGCTCGTCCGGGGGGACCCCAAGGCGTTCCCAGGCCAGCTGAGAGACATAGTCCCTCCAGCGTGTCCTAGGTCTTCCCCGGGGCCTCCTCCCAGTGGGACGTGCCCGGAACACCTCCCCAGGGAGGCGTCCAGGAGGCATCCGGAACAGATGCCCGATCCACCTCAACTGGTTCCTCTCGACGTGGAGGAGCAGCTACTCCAAGCTCCTCCCGTGTGACTGAGCTCCTCACCCTATCTCTAAGGGAGCGCCCAGCCACTCTGCGGAGGAAGCTCATTTCGACCGCTTGTATCCGCGATCTTGTTCTTTCGGTCATTACCCAGAGCTCATGACCATAGGTGAGGGAGGGAACGAAGATTGACCGGTAAATTGAGAGCTTTGCCTTTCGGCTCAGCTCCCTCTTCACCACAACGGTCCGATACAGCGACCGCATCACTGCGCACGCTGCACCGATCCGCCTGTCAATCTCACGCTCCATTCTTCCTTCACTCGTGAACAAGACCCCGAGATACTTTTTCCGGTCGAGCACCATGGCCTCGGATTTGGAGGTGTTGATTCTCATCCCAGCCGCTTCACACTCGGCTGCAAACCGCCCCAGTGCATGCTGCAGGTCCTGGTTTGTTGGAGCCAACAGGACAACATCG